GTTCTAATAATTGATTAGAAATCTTTGTCTTAAATACTTGAGTTAATTTAATTCAAATTATGTAGTTCTCACGGATTCAAGACTCTTGCTATAGTTTTGATATCAGTTGGACAACAGTTGTAAACGAAATGGTTACATGGGTTATCTTCCTTTGGATGTGTGCTTCATTGATAGGTCGTATATTCGACTCATCTTAAGACGAGCTTCTTTTAGTAGCCCAAATAGAGCTGAATTCAACTATGTTCGGCTATATTGTATATGATACTGTATGAATGCTGACAGTAGATCTCTGGGTTAGCTCACTGCAAAACTGTGATGGAAGTATTGCTCAAATTAGGAGTAACAAGTGAAAAGAAGAGAGGAGAAAAAGAGAAGACAGAAATGATAAAGGTACCCAACCAACAACAAACAGTAATCACCATGGATGGGAGAAACCTAAAGGAAGCTATCTGTTTCACCTATCTAGGCAGTATCGTTTCAACTACAGGCGGCACAGACACAGATGAGGTTGTCAAAGCCAGGGTCGGAAAAGCAAGACAGGCCTTCATTAACCTGAAATCAGTGTAGAGATCTACTCCACTCAACATAAAGAACAAGATCCGGATTTTTAATACTAATTCAGTCAAGTCAATGCTTCTATATCGTTCAAAAACTTGGCACGTTACGAAAGCATTTCCAACAAACTACAGGCATTCAGCGACAGCTGCCTACGCTCGATACTGAAGCATAGATGACCAGAAAGAATAAGCACCAAGGAACTCTAGCCGGGCAACGAACCAACCAAGAAGCTATCGCACAACAAATATGCAGAAGAAAGTTGAGATGGATTGGGCATACACTGAGAAGAGCATTCAGGGATATCACGCGCCACGCTCGCGAACGGAACCCGCGTGGGAAACGACGAGTTGGGCGTCCGAGGGTGGCATGGAGGAGATCATGTGAGGAAGAAATGAAAGCTTGTGGGGAGTCGTGGAGCCAGGTTGAAAAGACTTCAGAGGACAGAGTGGAATGGAGACGTGCTACTGAAGCCCCATGTCCCACTAGGAACCCAAGGGAAAAATAATAATAGTAAAGCAGAAACCATACCGGTTGTATCACAAAAAAATAAATGAAGCCTAATGCATTTAGTAATTAGTTTATCATTTTTACGATACAGCCGATATTCTATTCTATGAATTAGATTTACTGTTCTTGAACTGAACTCAGATGAACCAGCAAACTAATTTAAAATCTTTCACGGGAATACGTCCATTTAAAATACTTTACTTATTAGCTTAGGAACTTGACTCTCGAGCAATGGCTTTCAGGTTCGAATCCCATCCCCAGGCAATTAGGTAAAATACCATATGCTCCCACACACCAAGTGTGACTCAAAGCCTAGTGCATAAGTATCTGACGGGTCAAATTATATTATCATTATTATTATTATTGCAACCTCATAGACTGGTACTCAAATAAACAAGGAGGAATATGAAAGTAGATAGAGTATTTAGTCTAACATTGATAAGCTTTTGTGATAAATTTATTTAATTAACTTATGAAAACTGTATATGTATAAAAATACTTCTAAACTGTAAACTGACCGTTAATAAGCTATATATTTAATTTAGTTTGATTTTTCTTCATTCTTTATTCATTGGAATGCATTGAAATCAGTCCAACATTTGCAGTCAAATCTATCTAATCAGTCATTCTGTTACACATGACCTACGGTCACAGTTTATTGATATGTTTGTGTATTGCATTATATAGCAGTAATATATATATATATATATATATATATATATATATATATATATATATATAATACGGTTTGAAGCGTTAGATGACATTTTACCCAACCTTTCACACATATCATATGATGAAATAATAATTGAAATAGGTTTGGTTGTTTTCTCTCCATAGTCTTAACATAGTTCAAGTTGGACTGTTTCTCATTCAATGTCGGTTTAACACAAATAAGTTATTCTGTCTTTCTCAGTACTAATTAAACTGAATCGTGGTTAAGAATAAAGTCCAGAATTTTTTCGTGAGCTGAATAATGCAAAAAAAGTAATTTTCAAGGTTTAAAGGTGATTAAAAGAAGATATTAATGATGGATAGTGGCTGTGGGTGGAATCCAGGACACGCGTTCCTTCTTGTTTGGGACTCACCAGCTGGATGTACCTGCTTCTCAGTGAGCAATGTTGTTCCCACTAATACTTGAATCCATGACCGATAGCTGTAAACTCCAAAGCGTCATCCACCGACAGCTACTATCTATCAATAATATTAAATTTGAAAATACCACCAATATCGAGGGTCCCACATACCAATAATGGCCGGTTGATTCGGTCCAATCAACGAAGGTGATTAACAAGCCACAACATCAAAGAATGTACCATACCCGTCGTACAATGGAGTAGCTATCATGACCCACTGGCCTAGTGGATAACGCTCTGGCGTTTGAAACGTTTGGTCCTAGGTTACAGTCTTGATGCGAAAAACATCATTCACTGGGAGTCAGGTATATCCAGCCGGCGAGCCTTAAATAGGATGAAATGCACCTCTTGGATTTCACTGTTAGCCACTTCCTATAACTAATATCAAGTTTGAAAATACCGCCAGTATTGAGGAATCCAGACAGAGATTCATATACCTAATCGATGACGGAGATTCACGAGGTGTGGTATAACATGAAAGTCTATACAATTAAAAGAAGGTCTTGAATGCTGTTTTCTTCTATCCAAGTGGAATCGTTTCAGCATTGCTATCATAGACGAATTAGTAAAGTTAATTTACAATAGTTTATTTTCTCTATATCATCTGTCAGAGGGTGAAATGCTAGTCTGCAGTAAATGTGAACTGGAATTTATATCAGGAGCATCAGATATTGATTATTGATCTAAAAAGTTCGGACTAATTTTAATTTCCGTTTTGTTTGCTGTATTATAGCAAATTATTTCACTTTTTTAAAGGAACGGGAAGTTATGTTAAATCATACACGACCAATTAGGGTGCTTCAAAGTTTTTAAAAGTTTTCCTCAACACTTAGGTGTATGTGTTTCCATGCATTGATCAAATATAAAGTTATGCAGTTAACAGTTGGAAGCATATAGTTGTATTTCTGTTCATTAACAGACATTTTTGCTTAATTGGCACTTTTTTTTTTACCAAATTCTATAGTCATCGTAATGTTTTACGCATTATTGTTTGTCTGATACAGTATAGAATCAGTGTTGATTGGTATTCCTTGAGCAGGTACAGCGATATCTACAAGACAAACAGTAGCCGGGATTAGAAAGGTATGGAATGACAATTTGTTCAACATTTAGATATGGAAGAAACATTCATAAACCAATCACTCTAGAATTCATAGTGACCGATATTCAATGGGGGGGGTTACATATGTCTACTATTAATGTTATGCTCTGCCAGAATTGCTTACTGATGGTTTTCTGTAAACTGTTCAACCTCGTTTTTTTTTCATTAATTCTATAAATTAGCTCTCGTGTCGCGCTTTTGCGGATTTCAGTCTTCGCCTTTTCTTGTCACTCTGCCTTACATGATGAAATAAGTAGTGTTTCGATAGGCATCATTTATTCCACAGCCACTTCTGATGATGCTGACTTAACCATAAAGAGGATCTTATTATCACTTTTACACTTTGTTTCGAAAAAGTAAATATTTTGCTTATGGTTTAAAAGTTGATATTTGCTCTATCTGTAGAAGCGTCTAATATCCTTTTGTTCCATCCCTCCTTCGTTTATAGTACCTTAGGCTTCTAGTTTAGGGTTTCATTAATTAGCTTCTCTGCGTACCTCTCTTGTCGTAAAGGATCGTGTGTTTCTCACTCGTATTTAGATTTGAACTAGAATGCTGCATGTTACATTATCTCAAGTGGGGTTGTTGAAATTATTCACTAGATTTTTGGATAACGGAGAAAAGTCTGTTGTACAATCCGTAAATCTGTATCACATAAGGTAGTTAGGACATCTGTTCCATATACTCATCCATACTATCTCAACTTGCTTCTCTATTTGGAGCAGTTGCATGCATTTCTGTTGAACTCAATCTGGTAAACTGGGGATCTACGCAGATCTATGCTCCCCAAAATATTCTATCTACTAAAACTATTGAACGACCATCACTCGAAGCGATATCTTAGGACATTATGTTTGGTACTGTACTTTTATTTGTCATAAGCAAGAAATTATCTATCTTGATTTTGTGTTCATTAAGGTAACTGTGAATTATTGTTGGTCATAAATTTGAACTTTGTCCCACCTACCAGGGCTTTCGACAAACAGTTTCAATCACTACTTCTTGTAGAATTCTCGGCATATAGCCTAATTCACAAATTTGCACATCTTGCTGAGTTGAATTCCTAAAGTAAGCCTGTAACCTCAGAAATATCTTAATTTTTTCCGTGATATTTCATTCTGTGTATCTTACTGATATTATTTCAAAGTCCATGATTTCAGTGCTGAATAATTTGAGTTTGCACAGCTAAAATACATAAATTTCATCGTGGTAGTCAATTCACTTTTTTATGAACATCAAGGTTTGGTTCCAGATATTCTTGTTGGTTTTAAATGGCTAGTTTTTCACTTTCTTGTGTGGAAGATGGGGCTCTTTGGCTTAAGCACTTGACTCTGGAATAATGTGTACCTGATACAAAAGCTGTTCAGCCTACTTCGACTTTGGCAACCCTGTTGTCCTATAAATCTACATGAAACAGATGTTTTTCATTACCTACTATATGAACCCTTGTACTCAGTTGAGCTACATTATATTACAAATTTTAGACAAGATTGATTACAACGTCTGTAGTTATCTACAAGTCTTAATATTTCGTCATATGATATCTACTACACATATAAATTAGTGGAATTCTTTACTTGTGTTATTTAAAAACTGTCCACCTGAGCTGATGATTCGATGTGAAATTTTGATTATCTATTGTACTGGCTTTATAATCATTGTGCTTGTTTTGTTTTTCATTACTATTTAAATCTTAGCTTCTCTGTCATGGTACTCTACCTAAATGGGTCAACCGGTTAGCTCGTATTGTATCTGGACTACCATTTATCGAATCTTTCCTGCCGCCACATTGGGTTCGACCAAGCCTAATGTATGACTCTGAGTTCGATGATTTGAGTAATGACGATGAAGAGGAACAAGAAATAAGTCATACAGGTAATCAAAACCCACAGGTGGTGAATAATACTATCATGACTACTACTACTACCAGTAGTAGTATTGATCACCATAAAGAAGATGAAGATACCCTGTGTTCTGATATCTGTTTGATGAAGACATTTACAGAAAAGCCATATTTTCAATTTGTCAATTCTGCATCCGCAGGAAATGGTCATATTCCATATCACAGTAATAATAGTCATGCCGATAAACAACATTCTGTCGACCATTCAAACAGTCATCTTAATGCTTCATTACGTAACATAAGAATGGTATAGACATACAGTAAGAGAGTGTGTATAAATCAAAAATATTTCCTTTTCATCGCTTCAAACAACAGAAACTGACACTGTCTTTCTGCTTACTTTTGACCAATTTCTTGAAACGAGTTCTGTTACAACGTGTATGTATTATGCTTCTAGTACTAATTTATACTATGTGGAATGAGGGATTAGATACATTTTGTACATTCCAATCCATTTTCCGCTTTTATGAGCAATTCTTATTTTCAGTCGACAAAACTTTACTCTGTGTATGTACAATAATTATGCATCGTTGAGTCACATCGTACTTTCTATTTGTTATCTGATAGTATCGAAGACTTCGCATATCACATGATTGGTGTTTGGAACAGCTAACTAATAATCTTTTATTCAGGTGTAAATTTGTCTGTATGTTTATTGATTATGTCGATTATTTTGATAAATATTTTTACTTCATCATCTAAATAACTTTCCGAGCCTAATTTCATTTTATGTTATGTATGTCTTCCTTCTGTTTTATAAATTGTCCAGTTGATTTTTCATTGTTGAAAACCGCAACAAAATGTTAGACATAATTTATTATGTGGGATTTACATGTATTCTTGTTCCTTTCTCAATTTATAACCAGGTGTCTTGGTTGTAATGTATTTTCTGAACCGGGTTGTTTAATCGTGGAGCCTTCATTATGAAGTTAGTGCTGATGATGTTGTGTACAACCAAGACCATCCACCTGAGCTACAAATATTCTCCACCATTTTATAACCGGGTGTTTTTCACAGGTTGATTTATGGGTACATGTAATCTATAATTGCTTGTGTTTCAGGTGTTTTGAGATGCAAGCATGCTCAATAGCTTGGAGTTGGCTGTTGAAAATGTCATTGGTTCCGAGGAAGCAATTGATGTTCGAGAAAGTTCATCCTGCCGTGTAACCAATAAATATACATTAGTCACAGTCCATTAATTTGTCATGACGTACCATATATCAAACCGTAGTTGTTTTGGAGACGTGTCAGTTCTAGTGGATTAGTTTCTGACGAAATATCACCCCTAATTCCAAAAGCCTGCTTAGTGTTTGCCAAATCAACGTATTTATGGCATCAAAGGATGGACATTTAGCAGGGCTGTCCGCTTTACTCTGTGATTATGAGACATGGACATGAAAAGTAAATTATTTAAAAAGATTTTGATTACGGGTATCTTCGTAGCGCTTATGGCGTATAATTGCTAAGGTTATATGTAGAGTATTGAACAAGAAAGATAAGTCAACTGATAAGGTGATATGTGCTACGCTAGTCAAATCACCGCCTACCTAACCGCACAACGTTAGCCGAATTAGGATTGTGTTGGAAGTTTGAGGGCCATCAAATCAAGGAACGTCACCAACCAATGAGGTCTTTAATTGTTGATCTGAGCCGTGTGTCGAAATGTGGGCTGGCTGTCTGAGGTTCTTGAGATGTTAGGAGTCAATGATTGGAGATTCTTGTCGACGTGGTCGGAAGTCAGTTACAATGGTGCAGATGTCCTCTAAAGTTTGAACATCGTCAATGAAGTTAACTTTTTAGATTGTTTCTCTCCCTCCATCCCAATACACTTTGTCTGCTTTTATACCGAATTTTTTTGTATCCCTTTCTTTGCATGCTTTTATGAAGTGTTGTTACTTGAACTAACTCACTTCCGTATCAGATTCCGCATTTGCTCATCTGTGTTTGGAAATTGTCTGTTAATAAGAAGTGTCCCTGAAGTTTGTTTAAATCTTTAGAACTCTATATAGAAATACCTCAGGTAGAATGAGCGTATACAACCGTCTGTCTTCATTGTTCCAAACTAAAAGTGGGATCAGTCCGAGTTGCTTGATTTCTGCTATTCCTCCCTAACTTCGTAAGAAAAAAGTGGTGGTAATGGTCACGTAGACTGGGTAACAGACGTCTCGATTTTAAGTATGGAGTCGATGTCATCTTGAGGTGCCACGAAATATTGACTCCTCGAATCCGGCATGATCAATGTCCGTAAGTATGACATTCGCTTTACCTTGCTGAAATATAGAGTCCATCTACAAAATTAAAAATGTATACCTTCATCTATCTTTGGTGATGAACCGTTGAAGCAGTTTAAAAACATGTGTACCTAAGTTTTGTGAGTGCTAGTAGATGTGTGGTGGATGTGGTTTTTTATGGCATACCGACAAAAACAGTAAAAGGCACCATTCTTTGTTTCCTTTGATGCTGTAACGCATATATGCGAACAGTTTTGGTCTCAATCCGTGAAATCTAGTCTTTCTCAATGGATAACGTTCGGCGACTGTGTGTTCGACCACCATTGTTTACGTAGGGTGACTTGTATCCAGTGACAATACCACGTAAGCAGTTTTGGACTGCATCTATGTCTACTTACACTAAATGGCGTTCTTCGTTCATTGAATGAAAGCATTTTAAAATACCGGCTTCAGTAACTCAGACGTATTACCGATCTCGTCTTAACGGCCCCTGTATCATTCACTGTATGATATCCATAAGACCATTTGGACCAGTCGGGGAAGTGGTCAGTGTTTAAAGTAGTGCCGTAAGATGAAAGATATATATATTTGGTTAGCTTCGGTGTTTGCTTCATAACTCCTTGGATGGATCTTGAAAGATCATATCATTCAGTGGTTTGAAATGATGTCTGATGTGACTCAGAAATGAAAACAAAGGTGATTATGCTGTCCTTTTTCGTGTATTCTCTGTTTGCGGAAAGTGGAATACAGTAAAAGCTTTTGTCGATGTATCCCATGGAACTGACTGTCTATTCACTCTTCTTTTTCCTTTATCCTCTCTTTCAACTTCATCGTGTTTCTCGGTGTTCATGTCTTACCAGATTTTTGTTTCAAATAAAATAGTCTGTTACATGATTTGATTGTATTTTGAGAACTCTATTGATTGAGCATGTTTGATTAAAAAGTGAAGTGTCTCGGATTCACTTACCGTTTTATCAGTTTTGGTCAGGTGAGGTGGATGGAATCACAAGACTTTACATATTCAGTACGGCTAATGACTAAGTCGACTTCAGAACCTAAGAAGCAACTGCTTGAGACTAATAACACCGTTTTATGCATTTTTTTTGAGAGTTTCTTGCGTTTTCTAAGGCATCTTGTCTCTGTGAAGCTGATGTTTTCTTACAAACTCGGAGGCCGCTGATTGTGCTCCTGCCAAGACCCACTTTTTGTTTAAAATTCAACGGCCGTTCGGATCAGTATGTTTCACCTGATGAGTTTCATGGGACGTGATAGCTGACCGGAGAAAAATATACGTTAAACCAAAAAGACCAGAAGGATGTCTTTGGAGAGCCCAGTATTTGATTAAGGATGTTTTTGTCGAAAGGAACCGTTAATTACTAACTTTGTGTTATTGAAAGGTGGCAAATTTAAGGGTACGTTTAACCTATAGCACTAAGTTTAAGTCATACTTTTTTATGACTGGAGCAAGTCAATAGCATGAACATGTGGGAAAAGGAACACAGGAACTTGAGGTAATGCTTCTTATATATATATATATATATATATATATATATATATATATATATATATATATATATATATATATATATACTAAATATGCTCACTACTTTTATCTCTTTTTATTATCCTATTTTTCCTGCTTTGGGCAAGGTGACATCTACCTCTTAAAATTCATGCTTATTCCTCAGTTGGTAAGTTTTATTTTATTGATCAGCAATAACTTGATAAGCATACAATAAACTGAGACTGTATTCCATCATACCAGTTAAACCTATAGCTCATAGCAATGTGTAGTTTATCGACAAACTTATCCAACTAGTTTTGTTCTAATGAACCTCTAAGTAGTGCGGAATAAGCACTTTACCTCATTTTATTTTTCAGCTTTCTAAACCTATGGTCTTAAGTCATTTGGTGGCTGAATGTTCTCAAGTTATTGGAGAATTGTTTTTTCCTTTCTACTCAAACTTATTGTCCTAACTTCCAGCTTGAGATTATTTTTGTGGTATTTTATCACTTCGATCCTGAGTTCATGTCGTTATAAGAGGTAGTTAATTCAAAAGAAGGCTTGTATTTCAGAGGGAACTGAAAATGTCAGAAAGTGTCTGAATAATTTACACGGAGGTACTGATAGCTTGTTGCATAAAGTGGAAAGAGATCTTTCTGATCTATGTGAAGATATTAAAAACGGAAATTTAAACCCTGTAGATTTACTTCATGTTGTGTTTCAGGATACGATGCTACGTTTGGTCTTATAAAACGATGTAACCAACCTATGAATAAGGACTGTATTATTATTCAAGTCTTGAAAAACATTGGGGCGATCCCTTTTGTGACCACCGTTACTACACAAGTGTGTCGCACGTTAGATAGTTTCAACTCTGTGTACAGCAATGCTTATAATCCATTTTCCAAATCCCGTATGCCTGGAGGCAGTTCTTCTGGTGAAGCTGTACTGTTAGCTTTGCATGGATCACCTGTCGGTATTGGTAGTGATATTGGCGGCAGCCTTCGCATACCTTCGGCATTTTGTGGTTTGACCAGTCTGAAACCAACAGTTAGAAGATTGAGTGTATCAGGGTTGGCTTCAGCTGGTAGAAATTCCGTCTTGTATTTGCAGCAATGCCCAGGACCTATGGGTAGAAAAGTGGAAGACTTAGCTCGTGTAATGCGTGCATTGTTGTGCCGTACAATGTTTGATTTAGACCCATACGTTGTACCAATGCATTTCAATGACGATTCTTATGAAGGAAAGAACAAAAGTAAATTAGTAATCGGTTACTACTGCAGCTTCGATGATCCTAATCTCATGCCAGTGTTGGATGTGAATCGGCGAGTTGTCGAGAAGGCAGTTAAAGCACTGGAAAATGCTGGTCATAAACTAGTAAAGTTTGCAGTTCCTCATCCTTATGAAGCTTATGTCCTTGGTCTGCGTGCCCTGTTTGCAAATGGAGGTCCTGAACTAAGAAGGAATTTACAGGGTGAGGAGATTGGACCTCAGTTGCGTCTTGCTGACCGTCTTCTCAGTGTTCCTAACTTCCTTAAGTCATCGATAGGATTCATCTCTAGATACCTTGTTGGAAAATCAGCTGAAGTTATCCTGGCACTTCGGAAACTTGAGGACGGTCAGTCAGCACTCAAACTGACCACTGCAATTAATGCATACCAACGTGAATTTGCAGAAGCTTGGAAAAAAGCAGGTCCTCTAGATGCACTAATTCGTCCTGTGTTTGCCTAACGTGCACCACCTGAAAATACTCCTACCTCACTTATCAATCTCTCTAGCCTTTATACTTATCTGTGTAACATTGTTGATTACCCTGCGGGAAAAGTACCAGCTGGTTTTGTTAGCAAAAAAGATGTTCAAGATGCACTGGCAAAGTCTGCTTCACTTTCCGCTTCTGGTGACGCTTACATGTCCAAAGTTTACAGACTGTTAGATGGAGGAGAGAATTTGCCACTTTCTATTCAAGTGGTTGGTAAAACATACCCTGAGGAAACGGTTCTTCGAGTTTTGCATGGAATAGAAAAATGTTTTCATCAAGATAAATTAATGTAACTTGTGAAATTATTGGTCATTTAAGATGTTATTCCTTTTTTTCCAGACTTACTTAGTTTCATCTTTCCTGATCAATAATATCATTTCACAGCCTTATAACTATTTATGAATAACGCTTATTAATTTACTGATTCATTTTACACGTTATGAATAAATCTTATCTCTACTGTGGAGCATAAAATGTGTTCTTACTTTTAAAACTTCTAGTTCACATTTGTTAATAAGTCATCGAATGTAGAGTTATAAATTATTGGTCCATCATCCAAATTAGGCCATGCATTCAAGGTTTCACCCACATATTGCTATGTATATGACTCCTTAGGTTTGGTTATGCTCATGCAGTAGGTATAAATCCCCAACTACACCATTCTGAAGTTTAACTCATAACTTTCTGCTTTCACAATTAATGTGTCACACTAAGGCTGATAAATTGGAACGTGATAGGAAGTAACTCACTCGTATGACAAACACTTTATGGTTAATCGAATTTCTGGTTTCAGTAAACTGGTATTTTTAAGTATTTCTCACATTACATATGTGAAGTGATCAACTAGTGAGTAGGAAAATAGCTACAGTTTGTGTCTCTAAGTACGAGAAACTTCTTTTTGTAAATATCTTTATTATCATTTTGACTATCTGAGATTGCCATAGTTTGGCAGATTATCGATACTAACTGATGATCGAATCCCACCGCGACCCAAATTTTCATTTCACCTTCAATCATCATTCAGTATCAATACAAGTCTTCCAAACCAAGGGCCATCTCAGATAGTCAAAATGATGATCAATATGATGCTCCCTACTTCTTTAATTCAGTTAGATTGGGATTGGGATGAGAAGTCATGACTGGTCAGTCAGAGTGAGTACGACCAAGCGGTTGTAATGCTTCATGAATTCACATGGTAGTCGGGCAAGACCCTTGGTGTTTGAAGTGAAATAAAAATCTGGTCGGCAGTTGGACGTCGTAGCTCAGTTGTTAGAGCACAAGGCCACAAACGTGTGAGTCACTGGTTCTAATCTGGCAGCGGTCCAAACTTTCATTTCACGCTCAATCATCACCCAGTATCAATATCTTTATCAACAAAGTGCTTTTTCCTTGGGGTTTATATCTTTTAGGATTTGACACGCTTTTCAATGTCCCACCATTGTTTTCTTAGAGTTGGGAGTATTCGCTCAGTGTCTTACTGAAGCAGTGAAATAGTGTCGCGTTTCAATCAGCACTTCATTCATTGAATATTCACACTAACCGTTATCTTCGGATTGCTTATTCTCTCACACCACTTTACCTTCCTTCAGATCACTTTTTCTATCTACCTGTTCTTTGTATACTACTGTGAATTGCGGCAACATAAGCCGATGCACCTGTGTGCAAGGTTCTACGTTGATTTTATCAGTCAGTCAATCCATTCATTACCAATCTCTAAAATTAGTCAGTTATTACCACTATCTCATCGCAATTCGAGTTAATTTGTCTTTTCAGAATTGTTGATTCTAACAATTCAATACCTTCTGGTCACTTGATTCGAAGAAAATATTGATGTATCACTACGAAAAACCGTAGCTAATACCATCAAGCAACTTGGGAATGATAGAACAATACTTGATACTGACATTTACAAATAATTTTTACTTCACTAGTCTGATAAAATAACACGAGATATCGGTGATCGGACTGCAACCTGCTGTTGAAAATGGAGCTTATTTACCTTAGGATATGATTATCCTCATCTCGATCTTTATACTGAGTTACCTCTTGCACCATTAATGAGATGCGACAGCTGCATGATTTCTCTTGATTTCCTGTGATCGTTTCACTTATTGAGGTTTCCGATATCGCTTATCAACCTCCCCCCCCCTCTTTATAAATCTTTGGACAAGAAAGAAACAACAGTTGAGGCAGGATAATATGAGTTCATTTGACTTAGAGGATTGTCGTCTATCTAAAGCAATTTTAGTGTCAAAAATAAGTTCAAAAGAAAATGGTTGCACTTGGAAGATATATTAATACTATGTTACTAAATCCAGAGAAACTGAGTAATAAAGTAGAGACGGTCGTTGGAAGATTGTCTTTTTATTATTTTACAAATTGATGAATATTTTGAAAATGCCAATGAATGTAGACAGAAATTTTCATAGAAATCAAACGTCTTGGAATAAGTTCTTACAATGGTAAGAATTCATAACTACTGAAGGATAAGATTAGTAGTAACTGAAAGCTGACCAGGAAATGCAGAGAAAATGAGTTAGAGTTGGTAGTGTTATCTAACCAGCAAAAGTTACCACATTTGTGAAGAATTAGCGATCATTTCGGCAAAACTCAATAAATGTAAGTTAATCTGCTTACTAGTTATTCGAGACAATCTCAAGAATTCTAAATTGCACTCGTGACAAGAGGTTTCACTATCCAACAGTTGTCGTTGTAGGTCTCGGATCTGTTGGAAAATGGTAGGAAATCTAATCGAGGACTCTTTCTTCTATACTGCCAATCCATGTGTTTTTTTTATCTCATTTACTGAAATTAGTGAATGTTATTTGATATAAAATAAAAAGGAAGCTTATTTACTTTCACTTGTCTTAGCAAACAGTTTGTTCGATACAGTTGTACATAACAGTCAGTTTACATTACCAAAATGAAACCTGTTAACTGGTTTGTTTTCATATAACTTATTTTGTATTAAATTTATTATTATTATTGTTATAAAAGTCATATCAGTTATTTATGTTCGTTTTAATGCAGCATTAGGTCTATAGTTGAATTTCTCAGCAGTTTCGTTACATTTACCGTCAAGATATACGCTTTAGTCCTTCAGTCGCTGGATCTGTTTATACAGAGTAAGTAAACTGCTGTGCAGTCCGTTCTGTCCTGCTATGCGGCTGTCAGACAAGGCCGCTGAAATTAGAAAACATAAAGTGGTTACAGGTTTTCGATTTCAGGTGTCTTTATAGCATTGCTCGTGCATGATGGAAACACCATTTGAGCATTATCGAGGTTAGGTAAAGAGTACTAAGCAAGGAGGCCAAGTCAATCAATGAGACTGTGAAACTTTATTGACTAAAGTGGCTTGGACATACATTGCCCATGTAGATCTACCGCCTACCTCGACGTAGCACGCTGGGGGAGGTTGAGAGAGGGTTCAGGTTTGCCACAGCAGGACGTGGCATCAGTTGATGAAGTTTCTGACTATTGATCTGAGCCGTTTGAAAGGATGCAGACTGTCTAGTCGGGGTCCACAAGACGATAGGAATCAGTAGTTAAGGCCTTTTGGTGACATGGCTGGATATCAGTCACAATGGCGCAGATGTATTCACTCTTTGATATCCTCTGAATATCGAATATTTACACTAAACTTTATCTTCAAATTGTTTATTCTCTCACACTATCAACTTTGATACCAATCTTTCTATCCACCTGTTCTTCGTATATTACTGTGAAATGTGGCAACTTCAACCCCATGCATTTGTGCGGGAGGTTCTACGTTGATTCTTTCTGTCCATTAGTCTTTGCATTCTGGTTTATGAATTACTTCCTGTCCAATTATCATGTAGGTATCTTTGAAAAATGATGAGTTTGTACGTATCCTGACCAACAATAGACTGGATGGTTTGGAAAAAACTAGGGCACCTATTTAGTATGATTTATCGTATAGGGTGTATTTCTACTTATGTAATCCCAGTGTAGTATATTGGGAGAAAATAAACAAATATTTTGTATTGTGTATGAGTTTTCTTCGACGGAAGTTTTCATTTTCATACTGGTGTCTGAATTTTAGTTAATTGAACAGAAGCTGTTGACATTTAAATTGATTTTGTTTCATACATCCTTTCAATGAATATACCCTTAAGCCTTAAGAACGTTAGGCGTTTTCTTGTGTTTCAATTTCATTTTTAATGAAATCCTTTGGAATTTATGATACTTATACATTTTAGATAACGTTACGACATTTCATCACCCACTTCAGTGCACATGGATAATTATGGACATGAATTCAGTTTTGACAATGCAAAAGTCTTGGGCAGAGGAAATACAAAGTATTCCTATAAGCTTGGCATTCAGGTCAGTCAGCGATTGGTAGATGTATGGACATAGACCCAATCTATAAACCAATAATTATTATTATTATTATTAGTCCCTTGGGTTCCTAGTGGAACATAGGGCTTCAGTAGCACGCCTCCAGTGACCTCTGTTCTCTGAGATCTTTTGAACCTGGTCCCACGACAGCCCAGAAGCTCTCATTTCCTGCTCGCACGACCTCCTCCATGTCACCCTTGGACGTCCAACTCGTCGCTTCCCATGGGGATTCCACTCGAGGGCCTGACGCGTGATGTCCTCAGTCGGCCTTCTCAGTGCATGGCCAATCCATCTCCACTTCTTCCTGCATATTTGTTGCGTGATAGGTTCTTGGTTGGTTCGTTCCCAGAGTTCCTTGTTGCTTATTTTTTCTGGCCATCTGATCTTCAGCAGCGAGCGTAAGCAGTTGTTGATGAATGTCTGTAGTTTATTGGAAATACCTTTCGTGACGCGCCAAGTCTCTGAGCCATACAAGAGCACTGACTTGACGTTGGTGTTGAAAATCCGTATCTTGTTCCGCATGCTGAGTGCAGAAGATCTCCACACTGGTTTCAGGCTAATGAATGCCTGTCTTGCTTTTCCGATTCTGACTTTGACGTCCTCGTCCGTC